GTCCCCACCAGTCCCCGCCCTATACTCTCAGCCATCGTCCATCCCACCTGCACCTTCTGCCTACCCAGCCACCCTCCCCATCCCCTGTACAAGCCAGCCCAGTCCAGGCTCTGCTTGAAGTGACCCTGAGCTGGCCTCAGGCGTGGAGAGCTGCCTTTCTGCGTTAATGTATTGGAGAAATCGCCTGTAAAGTATTTTATTGCCCCACCAGTCCCCGCCCTATACTCTCAGCCATCGTCCATCCCACCTGCACCTTCTGCCTACCCAGCCACCCTCCCCATCCCCTGTACAAGCCAGCCCAGTCCAGGCTCTGCTTGAAGTGACCCTGAGCTGGCCTCAGGCGTGGAGAGCTGCCTTTCTGCGTTAATGTATTGGAGAAATCGCCTGTAAAGTATTTTATTGAGGGGTGCGGCCAAGAGCAGCTGTGACTGCTGCAGGCAGTGGGCCGTGTCCGGCGGGTGGCGTTCTAATGCGAGCTGGCCTTGCATGGTGGACAGGGTGGTTGTGACTGTGATTAAGCAGACTGGGTATGTCTCGTTCTCTCCAGGACTTTTTATGCCATAACATGGGTGCAAGAGACGGTTCCGCCTGCTGGCCTTTGCCCTGTGTGTATATCTCAGCAGGGGTATGCGGGAGGGAACCAGTGACAGTCCTTTGGCGCCCCTCGCCCCTCGATGTGGCTTTGCTCAGGAAGAGGGAGGTGTGCTGATTTCATGCTGATCCCAGCTAGGCACGTGTCTGTCTTCTCCTGGCGCAGCTGTTAAAATGCCGGGAAGCTTTGCCAGCTTCCTATGCGATCCCCCTGGCACCGCAGGGTTCAGGCACTTGGAGAGCACATAGTGTGTCAGCGTCAGGACCCCTGTGGATCCCACATCTCCCAACGGCTCAGTCTGTTCCAATGGGCCTCTGAGGCCACTACAGACCACTACAGGGGTTTCCGGGTATCCTGGAAAAACTCCACTGTGTCCAGGGAATGCGTCTGCTCTTCCGCTTTTTTTTGCGGAAGAGCAGACGCGCCCTTTTGGAAGCCCTGTCGTCCTCCTCCCATGAGGAAGAAGGGCTCTTCCAAAAGAGGAGGTGTTACCGAAATGTGGCCCAGTATAGACAGGCCAAATGTCAGAAAAGCCTCTTCCGAAAAATCTCTTGGAAAAAGGTTCGCAAATTGTGCAGATCAGTGGCGTCTAGACCTGGCCTGAGATACTTCTGCCTTCATCTGCAGTGGTGTCCCATCCCACTCAGAAATTAACCCCATGTGACCACTCATTGCTGCCAGCCCCTCTCTGACCGCTGCTCTCTCCTCCAGGGCCCTCTGCCACCTGGGAGAAGGCCTTACTCTTCCAGCTGAGCTGTGCCCGCCCCTCATTCCATGAACCTCCCAACTTCACCGCTGTCTTTAGCCTGCTACTGGCCTGCTCTGCGGCATGATCTCGGAGGTGGCGCGCGGCGGGAGTAATTCATCAGCGTTCCCGTCACCCTCACGCTGACACTGGTGTGAGTGTGGGGCTGGAAGCTCAGCGGGCGTCAATCCGTAGAGCTATGGAACACTGCTGAGTTACACCGCCTGGGCCCCATCTGCGCAGACAGGGACTGCTCTGCTTTCAGCTATACATTTTATTTTTTTAAATGATGGGAAAATACCTATTTAAATCAGATGGTTTTAAATTATTAGCAGTATTAATATTTTTCTATTTATTAACTCCAATGGCACATTCCACTTCCAAATTGCAGTACAGTGTGCGATTAGGGTCAGATATACACACAGCTCAGGGGCCTATGGCACAGCCTGTCTGCTCTGGGTCTCACGCACACCTGTGCAAATCCGTGTGCAGTGAGACGGTTGTAAGTAGGGTCAGAGTCACGCCTATACAGGCCTCTTCCTGTCAGCAGCCCAGATCTTTGTGTGGTGTCAGCTGATGTGTCTCTGTGGCAGTCGGTGGCACCACCTCGATTTCCGCTGACGAAGGGCCATCAATCCAGGCTCTGACTCTGTCTTACTACAGCTGTGCACTCACCTTGGCATGTTGTGCCACATCTAGCAGCCGCTGGGAGAGTCGCTCCCGATAAAGGGAGCCATTGTCTTGGTCCAAACCATGTTGTGGTTGTTTTTTATACTTTGAAATTGTGAATTATTTTATACAAAGTCATTTAATAAATATTGTCTATTTAAACAAATAGAAAGCAGCGTGTGTATTTAATAGTAGCCCCGGGTGCGTGACGCTGGTCGTGTGCTCGCTGGTGCTTGCACAGTGCCTCCGCTGCCTCCAGCCTGTGTGAGTTCCTTGGGCTCAGGGGCAAAGTCGTTAGCTCAGCTCAGTCCCACACTTAGATCTGCAGCAGTTGCTAGCCGTTGGGGGCTCGGGGAGGGGGGAATGGTGGAGTCACCATCCTCTAAGAAGGGGGGAGGCATTGGATTCCCATCACTGGCAGATGACTAGACTTACGAAAGACCTTCCTCCTGCTCTCTGGCTTCTCTGTGCAGCACCTACGCAGGGGGAGGGGAAGTGTCTTACAGCATCTCCCTAATTATCTAGAAAATGGCCAAGACGAAAGAGCATTCCTGAGTCAGGGTTTGAGCCAATCTCTCTGGTAGGGTGGGGGGAAGCAATGTTGGGCAGATGACCCCAGACCTGCTACGTCAGGGTTCTGACACCTTCCCCAGCTGCGACTCGCACTACCCACCCAGCGACTGGGCTGGCTGGATCTTGGGGCTGATCATCTTCCTATGGGCATGTAGATGCTCCCGTGACGGATGCCTTGAGACAGCTGGCCACAGACAGTGTATGAAGCTCTAGGAGGCCAGCTGGATCTATCCAGAGATCAGGGCCTGTTGCTAGGGTACAAGGCAAAAAAAAAAAAAGGAGCTGACAGGAAGAGGTGGTGTCAATAGCAGTGGCATGAGACAATAGCAGTAACACCCCTGAGCCTCGGGTCCCATCCTGCTGGGAGGCTGAGCAGCCTTGCCTTCAGCCACAACTCATCAGCTGTGTCCCGAGTGCCGGGGAGCCCCAGAGAGGGAGGCGAGGGTGGAGAAATGCAGAGTGGGCGTCTGGAGCAGAGGGAGAGCCAAAGCAGACGCTGGGGCTGGTTGTATTTCTCCCTGGCTGTTTTATGTGGCCTCCGAGTTATGTCCCTGCTCCAGCACTCTGGTGGCCCATGAAGAGAGGTGGCTGAGGTTCACTGCTGCCTTTGACCTCTCTCTATTGACAGGCCTCAGGAGCCCAGTAAGCGCAGAGCAGGAGCATAGGATCAGCCTTCCCACGCTGGGCCACTGGGCTATGACCTCTGTACCCTGCCATGGACGTGAACTCTGCCAGCCCCCAGCCGGCATTTAGGGCCCAACCCTGTTCCCACTGAACTCCAAGGGAGCTGGCTCGGCCTGTAAACCAACGATGGGCACTGGGAGGAGGGAGGATAAAATGCTCCGTGACCTGCATCAGAGATCAGCTTGCTCCTGCAGCCTGCCGTTTGCTTTCCCTTTCTTAGCTAGCATGGAGCCTTCGGGGCTGTGTTCTGGAGGACATGTCAAACACGAGCCAGCTGCTTCAAAGCCAAGGAAGTCCACTCCTCAGCGAGTGACTCAAGGACTTCCTGCGCCAGCGAGGTCAGTTTCGCTCTGTCGCACGAGGAGCTAGGTATTTCCGCTGGCCACTGCCAAGTCTGCTGGGACTGAATTCCACCAGCTCAGCTCTGGGCCGGTTGCTAGGGTACAAAACAAAAGAAAAGATGGAGCCAGCCGCATGCTTTTCATGCTTAGGACCAAGCATTCCCTGTTGCCCACGGGGCTGGGAAGAGGGATGGTTTCTCCTGCTCCTCCCACCTCGTTTGCACACAGACCCCAATGTTCCCAGCCCTCAGGGATGTTTAGCTCTGGGCGTCTGGTTGGGAGCCTGTGGGACAGAGCAGGGCCCCATGACACTTAGCTCTGCTTCCACGTGCACCCAGCGCTTGGCAAACGGTGGCCTGGGACCCCGAAGGGAAGGCGGGTGCTGTTGTAACCTCTACAGGCAGACAGGCCAAAGCCCGGAGTGGGTGGCTCCAGCCAGGCTGATTAATCTGGCCCCTGCAGGGGAGTGGGGTCTCCCTGTCTGGAGCATCCTGGGATTAGCAGATGGCCTAGCTCCAGGAGGAGGGATGAGGAGCCCTGGGTCAGGAGAGTGGGGCTGCAAATTATAACCCACCTCCAGCAAGGATGCAGAATGCCCAGGATGAAGAAGCCTGACAGGAAGGCCCTTCCCGAAAGGGGCCCCAGGAGAAGGGAAGCGGTGTTGAAAGTCTCCGGGTGTGAGTGATTCTCCCTGAATCCTGGTGGTGGGGGGCTTGCAGGGCCCTGCTGTGCCACCAGTGGCCATGCTTGCGGATGCCCCCTCCTACACTGATGGTGGTTTTGTTACTGAGCCATTCCCGGGTTTAACGCAGAGTGAGGCTCTCTTGTGCCTCCGGAGCCGGGCTTTCTGGAAACAAATTCCAGCTCTGCTGTGACCCAGAATCTACACTTCACTCACTCACCAGTAGAGTGGTGATGGTCTTCTTCCGAATGGGACCCTTGCACAACAGGGGCAGCAGTGTCTCCCCAGGTCTGCGGGCAGCCTGAGATGATAGCTCTCTGGGACAGGAGTGTGGCTTGCTCCTGGCCACCTCAATTGATGTTAACTCTGAAGCCTAATGACCACCCCTCCATTTCACTGATGGCCTTTTTAGCACAAATATCAGGTGACTGTGGTGGAGGGGCAGTGATAGATAATGGATGGGGTGCTCTGGGCCAGCCAGCTTGGGGGAAGAGGGGAGGAATACAAACTTTTGACCCACTTGCAAATTCGGTGTCACCCCGGACACCCATCCTCGGCATTGGAACCAGCGATGTCTCCTCCTCCAGAACCCTCCACTGCCCCCCACCTACCGAACTCATCTCACACGTTTCTCGGTTGCAAAAGATCCAGCTGCCCCTTGTGTGAGTGCCCACACCTACAGCCTCCTCCCGCCCTGG